TACTATTGTCACCAGAACAGCACAGAATCTCCAGATCTCCAATGAAAGGTTCCAGGTCTGAGTGTCTCAGAAAAATATGTTTCTATTGTAAATCAGCCCATTCCTACTAGATATTAACAGTGGAATTTAGGCATCCCTCGAGTGGCATAGTTACCATAGATACAGCAGAACTGGCAACCCATACTGCTATTAAATGTCAATACTATTGTCACCAGAACAGCACAGAATCTCCAGATCTCCAATGAAAGGTTCCAGGTCTGAGTGTCTCAGAAAAATATGTTTCTATTGTAAATCAGCCCATTCCTACTAGATATTAACAGTGGAATTTAGGCATCCCTCGAGTGGCATAGTTACCATAGATACAGCAGAACTGGCAACCCATACTGCTATTAAATGTCAAAGCAAGCTTTTTGCACCAAACATCAGTCTGAGGGATATTCCTTACTTCTGCCAACAGATGGAGCTGTTACAATTGCATTCTGAAAGGATTTGGTAGCCTTTGGGTCACTGTAAAGAATTTTTGACAAATCATGTAATTTTTAAAAAAAAGAACGATTGTATGTGTTTGCTTATCTGCCCTCACTCCTCATATACTTGCATGATTTTACGGGCTTCGTTCCTCTTGCCAACCCAGCAGGGATTAGGCACTGCTGTACAGAAATAAGCTGCATTGTGTTCTGTCCTGTCTCACTTCATTAGAGGTTAAAAAGTCTCCTCTGATCTATAGTAAACAGAATATAAGTGCTTTTTGCCCTCTCCCCATTCCTCCAGATCCTGGTGTCCTGAACTTCATGTTCCTCCTCAGGTTTCCTAAAATTGGGCCAGCAAAGATGGGCAGATGGGGGAGATGAAAAAAATGTGACATAAAAGACTGGGGGTGAGTTACACTGCATCCTTAGCTCGGAATAAGCTATGCAATTTGAGATACAATTTAGAAACAGCTTATTTCATAATTTGGCGCTGTCTACAAATAAACTTAAAAAACAAAAAAAATAAACTGCTATTCCCAAACGTTCCTTAATCCTCGTGGGACGAGGTTTACAGGGACGTCAGAATAGTGAGCCCATTACATTTCAGATTAACGGGCTTGCTGAAAAGACACGGAATAGCTATTTTGGGATACTGGAAGTATCCCAAAATAGCACCGCAGTGTGGATCAGCATCATGGGGGTGGGGTGAGGGGGGGTGGATGGATGCAGTAACAGAGCTACACAGAGAAAGTAAAGCAGGAGAAAGGGGAAGCACAGCAGAGGGGATGTGTAATGCAGAGGCTAAGGACAGAGGAATGTTCAGTAAAAAAAATTAAGAGAGGAGAAGAACTGATAGATTCACAGAGGCATCAGATGAGAATGGAAGAAAGAGGCTAGAAGAGCTATGGAGCAATTTGGAGAAGGTGCAGTAGCAGAGATACACAAAAGACCTGGAAGGGAGGCTGGAAAAGCAAAAGACAATAGGAGGAGTAAGAGACCAGTTTCAATATGTGTTCCCTTCCGAAATGGGCAATAGCCATCCCTTGGCTTGATGAAAAGATCTGTCCCCAAAAGCTGCTAAGACTTATGGAGTTTTTTAAATGAGAGAGAGTAGAACAGCTGGTTCTAGGAATTGTCAGGAATCCAGACCCTGATCCCTATCACAGGCACTTAGCACTACTCCTCAGCACTCAGAAGTGGGATGATCTACCACGATACCACAGTTTGCTTTGAACAAACTGGTGGGTAGGTCCAGAGACCACACGCTAAACCCTTCTCTGTTCTTTGATAGAATTCTAGTACTTAGCAATGGCTTCATCTCGATCCCTGATGGCCTTCAGAAGCTGTTCATTTGTCTCTTTATCTTCTGCTGATCCTCGGAGCCTGTCTCTTTCCTCTTTCAGCACAGTCATCTCCACACTGAGCAGCGTCACCTGTCAGCAACAGAAAAAGCATGGTCAAATATTTCTCCTCTCAGGTAACAATTAATAGTGGTGGAAGGTGTGTCACTTCTAGCCTTGAAGAGAAATGTCGTCTAAGAACAGAGCAGGCAGCATGAGCAGTGACTAGCTATTACTGGACATGTGCCTCAGCTCTTATCAGAATGAACCAGCTTGTACGGCTGAGAGTTTCTAGTGTCCAGGCCCATCAAACCTTTGCCTTCACAATGGTGATAACTGAAGTAGTCGCTCCCACTTTCAAGACCTAGGGCAGTGGTCTCCAACCTTTTTATACCCAAGATCACTTTTTAAATCTCCGAACAGGTGAAGATCTACTGCCCCGCCCTTTTCTTGAAGCCCCACCCCTTTCTTGAAGCCACGCCCTCTCTATTCTCCTCCTGTCCATCATTTGCTATCCCCAGCCCTTCCTTACACACTCTAATAAACAGTTTATTTTTAAATTATGCGATGTATAAAATTAAAATCACGTGTTTATAGTTATGAAATAAATGGTCTGGTTTTTATTCATGCTATTTAAATCTAAAATGAAGCATTTAGAATTATACATTTTGTGGGGACAGTTCTGCGGCTGAGGGCAGGGGAGAGGGAACAGGGTGCTGGGAGGGCAGAGGACAGGGTTCTGCAGCAGGGGACAGGGTGCTAGTGGGGGCAGGGTTCTGTGGCTGGCAGCAGGGGAGAGGGAACAGGATGCTGGGAGGGCAGGGGACAGGGTTCTGCAGCCAGCTAAGCTGCGGGACTTCTGTCCATCCCCGGGAAGCCGACACTACCTCCATTTTCACTGGAGGTAGGTAGTGGGGCTTCTCGGGGGTGGAAGGGAAATGGGGACGGGGCAGACAGGACGCCTTGCGATCGACTGGTCGAGGCCTCGCGATCGACCAGTCGAGAGCAATCAACCTGTTAAGTGACCACGGACCTAGGGGCTGCATCTAGATTGGCATGATTTTCCGGAAATGCTTTTAACGGAAAAGTTTTCCGTTAAAAGCATTTTCAGAACAGAGCATCTAGATTGGCACGGACGCTTTTCCGCAAAAAGCACTTTTTGCGGAAAAGCATCCGTGGCCAATCAAGACGCGCTTTTGCGCAAAAAAGCCCCAATCGCCGCTTTTCCGCAAAAAACACCCGATCGCCATTTTTGCGATCAGGGCTTTTTTGAGGAAAACAAATCTGGGCTGTCTACACTGGCCCTTTTGTGCAAAAGTTTTGCGCAAAAGGACTTCTGCCCGAACAGGAGCAGCATAGTATTTCTGCAAGAACACTAACACTCTTACATGAGATCGTCAGTGCTTTTGCGGAAATTCAAGCGGCTAGTGTAGATAGCTGGCAATTTTTTCCAGAAAAGTGGCTGATTTTCTGGAAAAACTGGCCAGTCTAGACACAGCCAGGGTGGCCAATTTGACATGCGCCACCAAATTGCCATCAGATGGCAATGACTCCACTCCATTACATTCAATAATCACCAGGGATAATGTTAAAGGCCTTTTTAAATACTCCACTGCAGCCAAAAGGAGATGGATTGTGATCCTCCTATCTCAACTGCACTATTACCATTGAAGGTTCACTATCAAAATGTTACTTCTTTACCAATAGACTCCTCTGTTGAGTCAATGTCCTCTCAGCCTGCACTCTGGTCTCTGATCTGTCCTTGTCCTCACCTAGTTCATGAATTTTCAAGTGCACCCACCTATCCCTGAAATAAGCTTTTAAAAAGAAAAATAATTAAAATAATATCTTCCTGATAGTCCTCTCTTTAGAAGCAGTGAACTGTTTAAAAACAACCTAAATATGAGTGATGACTTGGAAAAGACCCTTTACCTCTAAGAAGGGAATTACTGGCACTCATCAGAGTTTTAATTAGGCTTTTAAATCTATGTAAAATATTTAATAATCTAAGAATCTATTTACCTTGTAGACCTGTCTAAAGTGAATTAACAGTGTGAAATCATGAGGGAATCACCTTGTCATAGCTCTGCTGTCTTCCACAGGCATTTACTCTCTTGCCCTGCTGTATGCAGGAGTGCCATTACCATTACTGCTCTACCAATTTGGAAACTTTTCTCTGACACAAGCAGCCACCTTTCTGTATCCTCCACTGGTGGAGGGAAGACAGTTAAGAAGTTAACCTCCACATCGATACTTCCAGTGACAGCAGAAAAGTATTTGCCATGGATCTCCTTTTCGGCCCGGAGAGGCTGTGAGAGGCGCATGCACATAGAGACGCTGCTTTTGAAGATGGAGTTGTCATGCCTGGTGAAAATACAGTAATGGCTGGCAAGTTTCTCTGGGAGACTGAAGAACAGGGTGAGCTATGTTCACTAGGCTGAAGTCCTACACAGTGTTGGAGTCTCCCATGTTCCAATCAGAGGAGAACAGCAAGCAACAAACAGTGTCAGTAGGAATGGGGGGACATTTGGAAGGAAGAGGGACTAAAGGGAGCTGGGGTGGGGGGCTAGGGCAGTGCCAGACCAGTGTGAGGCATGCCTCCATACAGCCCCTTTCATCTCCCTGCTGCTTAGCATGGCAACCTGCAGAAGAGCCTCAGGAGCCCTGTTAGGAGCGTGCCCACTTCCTCCTGCAAGGGAATGCCTCAGGTCAGCTCTTACCCACAGTGGGGAGCACTGACTTACTTTCACCTCTGCTCCCAGTGAAGAATATAGAGCCACAGAAATGTAAGGCTGGAAGAGACCTTAAGAGGTCAGCCAGTTAACCTTCTGTGCTAAGGCTCATTACGTCTTGTCCTACCTGTCATTTCTATTGCTGTCCTGTGAGCAATCTCCCTTTTGTCCACATCTTTCTGAAAGTGTGGCACCCAGAGCCAGAACTGGACACATAACTCTACCTGAGACTTCACTGATACTGAGCAGAGTGTGACCATTATCTCTCAGCTCTGAGAGGTGAGGTAGTGAGTTGTGGGGGAATTAATGGTAAGAAGCTACACGTTTTGTCTGAAGTATCACTGGAAGCAACTCTTTCATCTCTTGGAAGGGCTCTGGCTTTAACTTGAGTCTTGTCCATGTTAGCATATTCCTACGAATGAGCTGTTCCTTGTGAAATTGCCACACAAGCTCTAGGGAACCCTTCAAGGATATTTCTGTGTATAAATCATTCATACAGTGGGAAAACTTCTCATTTGCATTTGTTCAACTGGCCCTGAGTGGTAAAGCCACCACTTGTATTCCTAGGAAGGAGAGCTCTACAGTCCCAAGAGCTTCCTCCAAGCAGCAGCCAAAGTTCTAAATGAGCAGTAACGCAAAGCATGAATTCTATTTTTTTCTCCATATGAGAGGGATACAGTTCAGAGCAGGTGGCTAGAGAACCCATCTATCTAAAGCAGATCAGCTTCTAAGCAGAGGTTGGAACAGTCTTTAGTATGGGACAGTCTGTAAGACTGATTAGTTTTGTTGTTTACAGATTGCACTACATGATACACCTTGTTAATATGCCTGATGTTATGCACATCACAGGCATGTTAGAAGGCACTGTGCTGTACAGATATCAGTACCTGTGAATGTACAGAAAGATGTACAAGAGGAAATGCACCACTTGGTGGGACTAGAATGGAGCAGTCAGTCTCCCCTCTGACAATTTTCTTTAGCATTAAACAAGATTTTCTGATGGTCTCTTCCAAGCAGTTACTTACCCTTTGGAAACTGGTTCTCTGAGTAGCTGGTGTGGATCCCTCTCTAGATGTGCATGGGCCTGCTGAGTGAGAGTGGATTTATTTTTGAATAGCAGTATTCACTGGAACACCATATTCACTCTGTGTCACCTCATGCTTCCATTTTAGGGCACAGAGTGGAGTGGCTGTGATCCCAGTCCCTGTATTGCTGAAGACTCTGAAAAGTGGTGACAGAGGGTGGGCTGTGGGATCTGTGTTGCCATAGCAGCATCTTGACGTTACCGTAGAACTGTGATCTGCCCTTTATTCTTCAGGGTTGTCAGTGTGGATCCCACTGAAGGTGACTGGCCACTAGTAGCTCCCTGAATGGTGGGAGTCAGGGGTTTCAGCAATATCGGGCAAATAGTGATTGAAGTACTGCTCTCCTGAGTTTGGCTCCCTTATCAAGTGCATGAACTTAGTGGGTTGCCCTGTATAACTTTATTGATTTCAGAGACCACCATGTTCTTGACGCAGGTGGATAATGCTGGCTGTACTCCGGAGAAGTGTGTTTTGATGTCTGGGGGTCATGCTGGCCAGTCATTTGATAGAAGGTGGATCCTGTGTGATGAGCAGGGTTCTACTAAATTCATGTTCTATTTTGGTCAATTTCATGGTCACAGGATTTAAAAAATAATAATGTTCACGATTTTAGCCATTTAAATCTGAAATTTCATGGTGCTGTAGTTACAGGGATCTTGATCCAAAAAGGAGATGTGTGTATGTGAGGGGGAAGCGGAGGGCTTGCAAGCGTATTGAATGTGGGGTTGTGATACTGCTTAGGGATGTGAAATATTGGTTAACTAAATAGTCGAGTAACCTCATGAATTCTTATCAGTTAGTCAACTATTCTATAGTCCCTGGGGGTAGGGCCAACAGCCAGTGCACTCCAGCCCCCCTCCCAAAAAGACCCCTGCCACTCCATGCTGTTGCCTCTGTATCAGAGACAGCAGCACGGGGTGCCAGGTGGGAGCTGGTCTGAGGGGGAAGCCAGTTTAAAACCCATCTCCTCTTGTGGACCTGTCCTGTTGCCCTGTGCTGCTGCCTCTGATAAAGAGGCATAAGCGTGGGGTGGCAGCAGCCCTTGTCTAGGGATGGATCTGAGCTCCTGGATCCGGCATGAGCTGGAACTGAGCTGGGCTGCTGGCCAGCCTGCTAAAAAAATGTACCTGCGGGTGGGGTGGGAGGGGCCAGGAAAATGTGTGTAGTCTATAGCATTAACCTATATGCTTTTGCTTATCAGTTAATTGGTTAATCGACTACACTATTACATCCCTAATACTGCTACCCTCATCTGTGTATTGCTTTAGGTAATGACAATGTCATCAGTGCTGGGCAGCTAGAGAATGGTGGCTTCTGTCTGGAGTTCCAACTCTAAAGGCAGAGCTGCAGAGAAGTAAGGTAGAATGGAATGGTATTGCTACCCTTCTGCACTGCTGCTTGCAGAATTGGGCCCTTAGTCAGCAACTGCCATACTCTGGCTGCTCTGCTCTGAAGGAAACAGCACAGAAGTAAAGATGACATAGAATGGTATTGTTACATCTACATTGCTACCAACGGGGCATTGCCTTCTGCTGGGGCAACAGCCAACAGCTACTACTCTCTGGCTTCTCAGCTCTGAAGGCAGGCAGAATAGGCAATACTATGATTTCCCCCCCCCAAACAACTTGTGATCCCTTGCAACTCCTTGTAGCATCCCCAATTTAAGAAACATCCCTCCTGTGAAATCTGTATAGTAATAAAGTAAAACCAAGCAAAAGACCAGATTTTACTGCAGGAGACAAAATTTCCTGGTTTGTGACACCCATGGCCAAGAATTTGGTAGGGCTCTAGTGATGAGACAACTTAGCTTTTTAATGTGTTGGATATAGCCTGAAAGCCTTTCTCCTGGTGAGGTGATAGAACAAAGCACTAGTGAGGTCGAAGTATGCAGCTTCTTTCTGCTGGCACTGAGTGTGGCTTTGGGAAAAAAAGCTAGTCAAGCAGTCCAATGGTTTAGGTGGAATTCTATGGAAGGGCGTTTAAGAAAATCTGACAATAAGGGCTCTGATTTCAATAACTCTCTGTGCTGAGATAATGGTCACAAGAAAGAAAACAGTTTTGATGTTAAGATGGTGTACAGACCTCTTTGACAATGTTTCAAAGGGAGGGTCCACACACTTTAGAAGGATAGCATTGAGGTTCCAGATGTCTTTGACTGGAAGGCAAGCTCTGAAAGGGAGGCCTCTGATGAATTTTGATAGTGTATAGTGTGTGAACACCAATTCTGAGTACTGGAGTGTAACAAACAGATATTGCAGCAAAGTGAACCTTGAGAGCATTAACTCCTAAACCTGCATGATCTTGGATATTATCCTGGGGATGAGAACCATGAACCAGTCTTGCACATGGATAGACAGAATGATGGTGGCATGAATTACATGCTTAACCAAAGACAACATATGTAGTTGTTAAATTTCCTCAGATCTTGGATAGGACTAAGCACCCCCCCATTCTTTTTCAGAATGAGGAAATACTGCTTCATTTTGGAGCCAAAGAGGAAAGCAACCACTTCTCTTAACTATGGCAGCAGAAGAGAAATGTATCTAGCTCAGCGTTCACTTCTGCTCTTGTGAGAAGGATCTCTGAAAAGCAAGGCAGGCAGCAAAGAATGGAACTCAAAGAGTGTGACTATGGAATCAGCGTCTTGATCTCCAAAGTCTCAGTATTCCTCATAAGGAACTCCTGGAATGTTTTGAAGTCATCCTTTGCTTGTGTCATTGCCAGTAGATACCATTTTATCTAGCACTGAAGAGTAAAGACCATTCAAAGGTAAGATGAGGCACTGACATTGCTCAGTCTCTGGATCTGACTCTTCCTAGTATTCAGGCATCAGTGGTTTGGCCACGGATGCTGCTGGTGAGAAAGAGCTCTTACTTTTCCTCAGTTTTAGAAGGCTCAGAAAAGTATTTAGGTGGAGCTAAAAACTAGTGGTTTGGATATTTGGAGGTTCTGCCTTTCTGCTGTGACCAGTAAAAAGGAACCAAGACAGGGCTGCAGCCATCCTGCTCTTTATGGTGTCAGATGAGGGAGCACAGGGAGCATAGATGGCTCCCTTCTCCAATCTTGCATGCTCATGAGGCACATGCATACCTACATGTATTTCCACTACATGCATCTGAAGAAGTGGGTCTTTGCCCAGGAAAGCTTATGCACCAATAAATCTGTTTAGTCTATAAGGTGCCACAGGACTTCTCCTTGTTTATGCAGATTCAGACTAACACGGCTGCCCCTCTGATACTTGCATACCTACAGAGGTTTCCACACTGACATATACTTGAAGAACATTGGGTTAGCCAACACTGTAGAGTAGGGTTCTACAGCATGTTGCTCACTGGTCTCCTCAGGATATGAATAGATGATCTCTTGCAAGTAGGCAGAGAATTATCTGGGAATGTGCAACAATCCTATCTTACAAAGCAACTTGCATTTCAGAAGGTTCAGGGAATCTGTATGGATTGCTCACCTGGCTGTGAAGTCTCTGCAGCTCCTCTAGGCTCTGCCTCAGCTTCCCTCTTTCTCCCTCCATTAATTCCCTCAAGACTCTTGAGTCCTCACTTGTTTGCTTGATCTGTTCTTCTAAGGCATCATCATCACTTCTCCGAGAACTCTGGCAACAAAAGAGAAATGCATCTTGCTCAGCTTTCATTTATAAGTTACAATTTGCATTAGCTCCATACTGATGTGGGGCCAGCTCTAAGAGAGAGAGGACCATGGGAATGTCACTCGGCAAGAGCTCTGATATTTTAGTATACATTTACATAAAAATATGCTGTATCCAGAAGGTTCACAACACAGCCAGTGTATGTCTACACTACAGTGTTAATTCGAACTAACAGATGTTAGTTCGAATTAACTTTGATAGGCGCTACACATGCGAACCGCTAGTACGAACTTAATTCAGACTAGTGGAGCGCTTAATTTGAACTAGGTAAACCTCATTCTACGAGGACTAACACCTAGTTCGAATTAAGTAGTTCAAATTAAGGCCTGTGTAGCCACTTAATTCGAACTAGTGGGAGGCTAGCCCTCCCCAGCTTTCCCTGGTGGCCACTCTGGGCACCACCATGGAAACTCTTCTGTCCCCCTCCCGGCCCCGGAGCCCTTAAAGGGGCACAGGCTGGCTACGGTGCCCGTGCCAGGTGCAAGTCTGCCAGCACCCAGCCAGCAGACCCTGCACCTGGC